GTTTCCCATAACATAAGAATAAGGTTGCTCTGATGCATCCCAAGAAAGGAAAGGAAATGTAAGTTCATGTGGCAAAAAGCCTGTTTATGAAATGTACGGCCTCAGAAGGCCAGAGATCCCAGTCTGTAGCTGGGAGATGGTTATAAAGACAGGCTTGGTGGGAATGTCCGAAAAAGAGAAATACATATCAGTTTGACATGGAGAATAAGAAACAAAGCATGGAGGAAGCCAAAGGTTAGCACAGCATCACCTTGGCCATCGCTGAGGTTCTTGCAGGAGATGGAAAAAGATAGGATTCAGAACTTTTAGTGGGTTTAAATAGGCTGGTTTCAGGACTACAGAATACAACCGAGGCGCTGAAGTATTCAGCCCAAGTTTTATGGTTGATGCCACTTTCTTTCAGTCATTAGAGAGGTTATTGTCTCCCCGCTGTCCCTTTTGGGAGGTTAGAGGATGTTGTCTGTCAGGGTCTATCAGACAGCAACGTCTCTGTGTCCAGCACAGCAGGGCTGTGTGTTTACAGATGGGTCCTCAAAGTGCTTGGGTAATTATTTGTAGTACTCGTCTAATCAAAGGAGGAGGAGAAGACATGAGAAGAATTCCTGGGAAAAGGGAATTTTGGAGAGCAGCTTAAAACCCAGCTGGGAGTCTGAAACAGCGTGTGAAAGAAATTTAGATTTCAGTCTTCCAAAATAGATTCCCATAAGTTATTTTTAAGCAAAGAGAGGAGCAATCAGTTCTGCCATGCTCACCCGTGCTCACCTTGTTAACTGTGGACATCATCGTCCCAGTGTCCTGGTGCAAGACTTAACTGGTGAAATGCTTCAGCTTGAAGTTTTGTGTCCAAATGTGTATTCTTTTGCTTGGGAAAATGAAGAGTGAGTGAGCCAGCGGAGGAGATGCTGCTATCAGGACCTGTAGTACCTATTTATCCATTGAATTAAAATAACAGTTTTGTTATGAGCTCAAAATCTAAGTGGTCATTTAAGAATGCAGCTCTTAAATGTGAGAGTGCCCAACTTCACCACCCTCAGTGAACAAGGTATCACCTTCTGTGCCGCTTGTTCCCTGCCAGATACAGCAAAGGTTTTATGTTGCTTCTCAAGGACAGCTGCTTAACTGAAGGACACTTCATCCTAATTAACAAAGGGGACCTGGTACTTAGCTCAAGTGCAATGCGAAGCCCAGCCACAGCTTTGGCATCTGGGTTTTTTAGCCCTGGGATGACCGGGTTATAAACTCCTGCTCATGTGGAAAATTGCCGATAGTCCTTTTCCCCTTTTCTTTGTAGACAGGAGCAAGTGAGAACCAGCGGACTGTTGGGGTGATTTTTGTTTTTAAGGAGTGTGTTTGGATATCTATTCCTGGCTTGTAAAGAGATGGAGACTGAGGGCCTGTGCTCTAAGAGAGAGTTGTGCTGTTTGTGTGCTTGGTCCCAATGGCACAAAGACTCCTCTTCCTTCTTTCTCACTAAACCTTGACCTGGTGGGGTCTTGTGAAATAGGGCTGCTGGCCCTCGATCTCAGGCTTAAACTATTTACTTACATGTGCAGAAAACAATTTTTGCTGGAACAGGATGTGCAATTGTGCTGCTGGAGGAGTCCTGCTGTCTGCCAGCTTGGGAATGCTCACTTTGTTAACATCTACATGGGAGCTGAACTTTGAAATATCCACAAGCCTCCCACCTTTCCCCTTAAAGGACACTGAGCATGCTGAGCTAAAATGTTATTACTTCTCTTGTACAGTAGGTTAAACAACAACAAAGTCTAACGTTTTGAGCAGCAGGGAAGTGTTTGTATTTCCATTCCCCTCATGGGATAAAGGCTGAGCTGCTTTGCCTTAAAATGTTGCCATATTTTTTCTTTATGGGCCAAGATCTGAAGTGGAAAGTTTCAGCCTGGAAAGAATGTTTTGGAGGAAATTAGCAGTTCAAAGCGTGAGCCTTGTGATTGAGAGACCTCTTGACCTATATGTTGTATTTGCTGCTGCTATATATGGTAGAGAGCCAGAAATACGTCTGACATCTTGTGCTGTCCTCCTGTGGAAATTCTCACCTGCTTTTGCTCCCATGGGCCTTGATGCTTTTCCTTCTTGCACAGAGGTGTGCCCAGGGGATCAACCTTTAAATCCAGTTGGGCTGCCTGGCCACACTGCTTCCCAAGTTCTCCAAAGGGGATTTTTCAGGCAGCAGGCAATAGAGATTTACCCAAGAAGTATCCACAAAGCATTTGCTCCAGATGCTGCAACACCCAGACACAGGGCTGTACTGAAGTAAAAGTGCAAGAGTCAGACCTATTTTGTGTGCCATGGTAGAGGAGAGGAGCATATCAAGACTATTTCTCTTTGCCTGGTTCCTGTAGTAGCAGGGAATTTGGCAAGGGATCATGTGTAGCTGTTGGTGTACTTGCAGTCGTGCCGCACCGTCTGGTTGTCTCTTTTTCCCACTGAATGTCCTCTTTTGTGCTGGCTGCTGTGCAGCTGAGCTATTTCCACGTTATCTTGCGTTCACCACATCTGGGCTTTGTCTTTGCTGTTGCAGAGTGGCAAAGAGCAGCAGAGCCATTGCCATCAAACCTGCAATGAGGTTTCTGTGTCAGCAAAGTATTGCACAGGACACGCTTCAGGTGGTGGCCTTTGTTGGCGCGTGGCTTTCCAGCTCAATCTTGTTCTTTGCTGCCTTGGACGGGTTTCCCTTGCACCTTGCCTCTCTGTCCTGACGGACCTTGTCATCGATGAAGGAGTTCAGGATGTTCATCAGGAGGTGAGGCAAGGGCTGTGCTTATTTCCATAATGCTGGCAGAGAGCATGGAGACCCACCATGTCCTACACATGAGCACCCATAGGACATGTACCCACCTCCGTCTCCAGAATCACAGCTGCCCTGTGCGTGGAGACTTATCCTTGAGCAAAACGCAGTCAGATCAGACCTAGTGACCTTCCGAGCATTGCTCCTGTTCTGCAGTGCTGGTGGGAGGAATAGGAGACTGGGCCGTGCTGCGAGGACTGGGAAAAGAGAGCCCCTGTGTGTGGTGGTGGAGGGCTGGGTGAACCTGCCTGGCCAGCACGCACCACTGCAATTACATGAAAAACCGAGGCCTTGGGATGGCAGCTGCAAGGAAAGGTCACAGAACCTCATTGGCAACAGCCATGGATTTCCCAGTTGCGCATTAGAGCTCGATGGCTTTCCTCTGATAGAGGCTTTGAGGCAAAATCCCTTTTCATGCCCTGAGAATTGTATCTCTGCTAGATTGAGCTTCATCTAGAGATCATTTAGAGGAGCAGGGCCTTTGAAGACCCCAAATAGTGCAAGCATTTCAGGAATAGGATGGGGTGTCACCTGCTGTCAAATCCATCATCCGCTTTACCCTTGGAGTTGCAGGAGGCGAATTTGTCCCATGAGGCCTGGGGGTGTTTGAAGACCCTGGAATTTATAACTATGAATGTGTCCTGGTGACCCTGCCTGCACAGGGCAGGAGCAGTGTGAGGGTGCTGCGATGCACACCCTGCGATGTCCCTGCAAGTGGGCAGGAGGGGTAGAGGACAGGACCTTGGATTATTGGCAAGTTGGAGAGCTCAGCACAGGCTGTTCTGCTGAAAAGGGAGAGAATTATGGCTGTAGAAATTGCTAAGGGATTAAATAAAATCATAACAGGATAAGCTGTTCTCTTAATGTGTCTAATGGAGAGGGGAGAGGCAGCAAAAGCTCGGTCAGGGGAGGGAGGGATGTGAAAACGTGTGAGGTGGGCAGGGTGTACCAGGACCTGGGAGCTTTCTCCTCCCCCATTTATCCATTGTGATTGCTGCTGTGCCGGGTGTGCTGCCTGCTCCTGCCCTGCAGGACCAAGCAGGGAGTTTCTCAGCTGGTCCAAATGAGCTGGGCATGAAGGAGCCAACAATGACCTCCTTCCATCAGCATCACTCCCTCTTTACCTTGGAAGCAGCCCCATCTCCGCTTGGACGTGAGGTCTGGCTGCTGGAGCCAGATGATAGCGGCCTCATTTTCTCATGGCTTTCTGTAAAGCCAAAATAATAATGGCAGTGGGAAAAATAACTATTTACAGAAAATCACTATAACAAAATAAGCAGCGTGGTGACCAGAGGTTGTTTCAGGTCTGTAGGATAGACAGGCCACTATTAAATGGCTTTTTAGGTGGCACGGTTTTAAATCCAGAATTTTAAAAAGGGAATTTTGTAACTTATAATGAATAAAAAATGCATAAAAGGTAGCTGATTGTGTAAGATGCCTGTATGCACTGAGACTTAAGGCAATTTTCATTCTGAACATAAAAGGAAAAAATAATATGTTTGAAAATCATATCGGGGATATGTCTATTATGTCTAAACATAAGTGGTCATGAGAGTGAGATCCTCTCTCCCCTCTTCCTTTAAGCCCTGGGCATCTCCTATAGTTTGAGAAACCCAACCCAATGTTAAGAATGGAACATAATCTGTGGGACTCGCCAGCACAGGATATCATTACAGCAAATTGTATAACTAGCTGCAAAAAAAAAGAGTTAGACATTTAGATTAGAAAAAGATTGCAACATTTGTACAATTACATTAAAGAAAGGAGCATCCTTTTAGTCTCCAGCCTTTGTGAAGGCAGCACGCTGGGAAGGGGGTCATCTCCATGAGGAGGTGCAAACTGACCCAGAGACTCTCCTGCTGCTTTTCAGGTGCTGGTGCCCAGCATTGTCTCCGTCCCCATGAACATCGGTTCTGATGCAGCCGACTCGCCAACACAGGATATCATTACAGCAAATTGTGTAACTAGCTGCAAAAAAAAAAAGAGTTGGACATTTAGATTAGAAAAAGATTGCAACATTCGTACAGTTACATTAAAGAAAGGAGCATCCTTTTAGTCTCCAGCCTTTGTGAAGGCAGCACGCTGGGAAGGGGGTCATCTCCATGAGGAGGTGCAAACTGACCCAGAGACTCTCCTGCTGCTTTTCAGGTGCTGGTGCCCAGCATTGTCTCCGTCCCCATGAACATCGGTTCTGATGCAGCCCCTGGTGATGCAGGAATGGCCCTACGTCCTCCCGCGATGTCCTGAGTGGCACGTCACGGAGCAGGCGCAGCACCGCAGTGCTGCTCACCCGCTGTCTCAGGTAAGAGCTGGGTCTGGAAGCCTTCTTCCGTGGCAGCTTTTAGCAGTGGCTGCAAACATCTGTGGAGCAACCCAGGACCCCTGTTCCTGGCAGCAGGGAAAGCTGTTAGCTCCAGCTCCCCATCATTTTGCGCTTAATGAGAGCCTTAGCTCTCCTCAAGCGTTTTGGCTGCTAAGTGTTTCCCAAAGTAGAGCAAGAGTGACAATCTGCAGAGCTGGATTTCAAGGTTTCTGCAAAATACAGAGCAAGAGGCCACTGTTAAGAGCTCTTGTGTATCTCGTTGCTTTTTCCTTTTTTTTTCCTGGAAGCTTCAAAGAACATCAGCTTTTGCTAAAAATGTAGAGTTTTTAATCTTCCTGGTTGTGGAGAAGAGCTTGGAAATAAGCCCCTGGTGAATGCTGTAAGGCAGAGGAGGAGTGTGACCGCTTTCTAGTCTGGTTATCTTGAGGAAGGGAGAGTGGGTGCTCACAGTGGTGGTCTCCCTCCTCCTCTCCCCACCAGGGTCTCTGAGCTGTCAGGCCAGCCTCCTCACCAAAGCATGGCTTCCCCTTCGCTGCCTGTAGCTGTTGCCCTAGGGTACCTCTCACCTGACAGAACACTGATCGACAGCACCAAAGTTTTTCCTGGATGCCCGCAGCGTTGTTCCCAGGATGAATCAAGTCCTGACTCTGCCTTTTCCCTTTTGCTAGGAGGAGCAAAGGCTGAATCTGGGGCTCCTCCCTGCCATGGTTTGACCCATCCTGCTCCAGAGAGCCAGGGTCTGCAGGAGGAGGGCAGAGCTGTTTCCGGAGGGGCTCCAGCATGCAAGGATGAGGCTTGCAGCTCTTGGTAGCTGAGTTATTTGCCGTAGGGTGGCTGTTAGGTACCTGCTATCAGCCCAGCACATGGGAGAATAATGAACAGCCCAGCAAATGAAGCAAGAAGGGAGAGGGATAGAACAAGATGAGCAGGCAAATGAAGCAAGAAGGGAGAGGGATAGAACAAGATGAGCAGGCAAATGGCCTCCTGAGCAGCCCAAGCCCCTCTGAGGGGGTCAGAGCCCTGTGGGGTTTGCTGGGAGAGGGGAGGGGAGCTGGGGCAGGACACCCTGTGGCACCCTCCACCACTGAGCTGCAACATAGCACACAGGGAGGGTGCAGACATCCTCAGCTCAGGTCTTATCTACCACAGGTTTCCCCCAGTCCCTACCCGAGCCTGGCTCTCTGCTGTGTGGGCATCAGCGTGTTGAGTGCCACGCACCAGCTGGCTACTGGCTCCTGTGACGTGATGAGAGTCTGCCTTGTTCACAGGGTCTGCTGTGCCCTCCTTCTCACAGGTGTAGGTGTTGCCACCTAGGAAACAGCCTTCCTCTCTTCTCTTAGCTCGTCCCAAAAGCTCCTGGCAGGCTGCAGTCAGCTTACCCTTCCTTGTGCCCTGGCTTTGCTGAAGCCCCTGCCTCCAGTCTACGACCTGGTCCTGTATCTGTGGGGCCTGGGAGGTGGTGGGGAGAGGAGACTGGCCAAGCTGGTCCCAGCAGCAGTCAGATGTGCCGGCAGGGAAGGAGGGAAAGA